CAACACGAACAACTGTTTCTTTCTCCTCATTCACGCAGCCACTGCTCAAAACGAATCTAGTCTAAGAATCCTTCCTTCACTACAGTAAACATTAAAACTTAAAACTCTCTAAGCCCCGGATGGATGGAACCAGTTTAAAACTAGTATTTATTTCCAATTATAATTTTGATGAAACTATCTCTGTAAAGTATTTCTAAATAACCAATCATGATCCATAACTAATACTTAGTAAAAATTGTATAGCTGAAACTATTCATAGTTTCAGCAACAGATAAGAATAAATATAATTCAGCAAACAGTCGTTCTCCTTCAGAACAGTTCCTGATATCTCATCTTACAAATACCAGTATGCACTTGATCTATTGAGACTAGGAGGTATAAGAGTAAGATTAAGATCGGTTTTAGATTAAGAAGTTGCACGAGTTTATCCGGGCGAAAATAAAATAGCGTGACGAATAGACGGTGTACCTTTTCTTAAATTACTCTGAGTGAGCCACCCCGGACATAAACTCACAACCCATTCTAAACATAGTTTTAGATATCTGTTTTAGGTGGAAAAAACTGCTGACGCACTCGAACAGGGGAGAATTTAGAAAGATGGCGGACGCCCCCTCCTCAGGGTTTCAACTCCCAACCGACCCAAAGGGTCCCCCTTCTGGTACTTTTTAAGAAATCCATTTTTGGCCGAACAACTTGAATACATTTTTCCCCAGTTTCAGCAGTCGCACCAAAACGATAGTTTACAAATTTATGTTCCAATTAATTTTTTTAATATTCGATTGTGCGACAACGTGATGATTGTTTTTTGCTCAGGTGAAAAGATAAAAAAAATGAATTCATGAAAACAACAAAATTTATTTTGGTCAGCCAATAACTCTTAGATTGTGATAGAGAAAAAAATTCAAAATTTGAAACCAAATAGAATTTAAGCTGCAAAAGTTTTAAAAAGAAAACCCAAGATAAACTTTTCAATGATTATTTTGAAAGTTTCGAATTCCGAAGAAAAAAATCACGTTTTTAAGCTTAGCCTTTCAATAATTTTTGGGAATACCATTTTTACATATGGATCAATAAGCAGGAGGTTTCTTATAACATAAATCCTCATAAACTAAACTATATTAATTGCTAAACCGAATTTGTCTTTTTGAAATTGAAAATGTTGACAGCGATTATAAAAGATCACCGTTTTCATTAACAAATTTGTTCACTGTGGTAAAAGTTTAGTACCAATTAAGAGCTGGCGCATACATTTTGAAAATCTATTTATTGTCCAGGAAATGCTAAATGAAGCTTCCAAAACTAGTTTTCCTGGAGAAAACTACGTTTTCCTTTTCTAAAGGAGAATTTTTCTTTATGAGACGAGTAAATTTTTTGAACCGGTTTTTCTCGAGACTGGGTAAAATTTTGAAATTTCTTATAGTCTTTTATATATTTGTATTGTATCGCCAGTGATGCGAAGCTCCGCTTCGCCTCTATTATTTTTTGTGGTAGCTGATTTTGTGTTAAAAAATAAAGCACTCCCAAAGACTGAGTGCCTCGGCATTTTCTATAGCCGGAACAGTAATAATGAATTGTTTCCAATCTGCGATTACTAAAGTTTTTTCACGATTACTAGTTTTTGACTTAGACTTAAATAGGTTGAGAGGTCCTCGGATGAGATAGGCTGTTTTGTCCATTTCTCTGTTTTTCATTCTTCCTTACAGATGATGATCTAGAAATCGAAATAGAATCAACACTACTTATTCTATTTATAATTTTGATGATCCCCCGTTAATAAGACTTTCAAAAAAATGGGACTACAATTGACCTATTTGGGATGTTAAAAACGAGTATATGTATTACAATAAATTACAGAAAAGGCAACAAAACTTGTTTAAAATAAGATAAATAATGGCTTATTGAACGAAAAGTGAATGTTTTCCTTCCATAAATAGTTTTGAAGTAGCTTATGATTGAAATGGTCTTGTTACTTCGTGGATGTTCTTATAAAGTGTGTCATCGAACTGTCATTTCGGTTCGAATAACAAAAATTTGGTTTAAGTGATAGGAAACTCCTGTTTTATTTAGTTAAAAGGCCTTTTTTCGTTTCAATTGTTAAAACAAAGAATTTTCGATAAACTGAAATGTTTAAACCCACTCTGAAATATTCGCCAAATCTCTTACTTACGGTTTTATCCAAAGTTTTGGAGTGCACGGTTTTAGGGGTAATTTTGGTGTTTTTCAGAAGTCAATCTTGGGTTATTTAGTTTCGTATTCATTTTTTGCCTTTTTGAGATTTATTTGATAATAGCGGAAGCATATTTTAATTTCATGGTAATGTCTATTTTCCTAGCAGTTCAGTCAATTTGACAAATTAGCGGAAGGCTCATGATGTATCAGAGCGAAATTAGAACATCTGCGAATGAAAAACTGAGGTCATCATAGGAAAATAATCAGCTCGCCCTTGGGTGCGTCTGTTCATTCTGTCACTTGGGTGCTCATATGAAGAGGAGTATCTGAGTTTTCTTCTTTATGCCTAATTTACTGTAACAATCCTATCAAAGTCCCATCTTAATTAAGCGTAATGCATTTGTTTTTTTTTGCGCTTTTAAGATATTTATACAGTATTCTTTACGTGTGAATGATTTCATGTTGTAAGTAAGTGGTTTGAGTGTTCAGTGATGGAATATAAATATGCTTTGTCAATGGTATGAACTTAACAAATTGTTTTTGTTTGATATAAAGTTATTTTAAAGTTCAATTCATTTCCTTTGTTAAAAAGAAGGCAAACTCCACTATCGAATAGCGAAAATGCTAAGTGCACAAAAAACGTGATCGACTTCAAGTTTAGAAAGAAGAGTTTAACTTTCAGCTAAATAAAAAAAATTACTTGCTAATCCAATTTCTCATATTGGGTTATTTTACGCGAAAAAGTATCAATCATAGTTTGGTACAATTTGGTATCAGTCGAAATTTGGTACAAGTCTTTTTTCTGTTTACTTGCGTTCATTGACACTTTTCCAACTTTCATGCGAGACTATGTTCTAATTAGCAAGCGATATCAATTTGGAAGATACTTCTTAGGGTTAAAATCTAGTTTAACAAATTAATTTGAATCGTTTGGCAGCTTGGTTGATTACGTTTGCAATTAGCAAGCGTTGTCAAATTGGAGTATTGATTTTTTTCTGGTTAACAGCTTGTTTAACGAAATTATTCATCGTTTTTCTGATTATGTTTTCTCAGCTTTGTTGACACATCACGAAGTTTTTTGTGCTGTAAGGAGTTTTTATAGTAAATGGTAGTGTTGTGTTTTCGATTTACTCCTGTAATTTGTAAATCAACTAACTCCGTAAATCGGCTTTTAATTCTAATTAATTCCTTTTGTTTTTTGTCGCTCAAAAGCTTTATTCGGATTATATGGATATATCGGCTTCGTGATGTAATTTTGTGTCATTTGAAAGGAAAAACAGTCTTTTTTATTTGCGTTTCCGGAGGTGGTAAAAATTTAGGCTAATAGTACTTTAGAGCTCAATGTTTTTTCATTACAACATTCTTGTTTCAAGTTCAACTGGAGTTAACCCAAGTTTTGCCGGCTTCTTTGACGCTCGATAAATGTGTCTGAAAACTTTTTTCATGCCGGTGGTTGTACTGCTGGTTGAATTTTCCTCAAATTAAAAATCATTCGAGACAACATTTTAAAAGTTTCTTGGCTTTTGTTTCATTTTTTGTCTGCTTGCAATGCTATTTTTCTATTGCGTCGCAAGTGATGCGACGTTCTGCTTGGCGTATGTCTAATAAATTCAAATTACACGATTTTCTCTGTCTCCTTTTGTTTAAAGGTAACGACTATGCCTGGGCGACTAAAAACCTTGATTCGATTCCTGTCAGAAACGGTTTTGTTTTAATTGAAAATATTCAAATTGAAAAAAATAACCCGCCTATCTTATGTCTGCTGATGTTTTTCAGCTTTGCTGACACATCACTGATCTTTTTTGTACTATAAGTTATTTTTGTTGAAAGCATTTCTGATTCATTTCTCTTATTTTTTAAATTTATTGACTCTGACTGGTATAATTTCATTTTTTTTTGCTTGAAAAAATAATTCGGCCTAAGGGGTTTCCGCTTATATATATTATTGGTCTTGTCTCCTAAAAGAGATTGTATTTGTCCATCTGTGTTTCCGAAGGGGAAGGGCGTAAAACTTGAAGCTTTTCTTGATCACATTTTTTTTGTTTTCGGCCCGACGGGCGTTTATCCAAGAATTGTCTGCTCTTGAATGCTCGTGGTGCTAATCGATGAACGCATTGAAAATTATTTAACGACAGTGGTTGTATTTTTGGACGTAATTTGAACATCATTTGAGACAAAATTCGATTTCTGATTTTTTTTTCGATTTAGTGGCTTTCTTTTCATTATCTGTCTGCTAGCTTGCAATGTTATGTTTGTTTAGTACCGCTAATGGTGCGCTCCGCTTCGCCTCTTTTTAAATATTCCCTTAAGTATGCGAGTTATTTCGGTCACCAAAAAGCGAGCATTAATTTTTCAGTTGAAAATGCTCCTGAGACCGGTAACATAACTTGTTCCTATCAAAAAATATAGAAAGGGCCCTGAAAAAAATATTGCTAAATTCCCATGTGGGTTTTTCACCAGATTTCAATATAAAATGCAATGTTTCCAGTGAGCGTTCCCCTTTGGTTATATATGATAATGGCTTAAACGGAGATAGAGGCCGCTAGAAAAATGAATGGGTAAAATAGTTAGAGATTTTTGGATGGTGATTGTCGATTTCCTTAGAGGGGGAGTTACGTCCTTCGACCGCCTAAATCCACTACTGCTGAAGCCGCCTGTTATTTGATCTTAAACTTGCTTCTTTATTGGTAACCTGCAGTGATCTTTTTCTCGAGAATTTCTAAAGTAGATCGATAATTTTACTTCTTTAAAGAAAATAGGGAAAGAAACATAAATTTAAACATTGAAAGTTTGTCGTTTTGGAAGCATTCAACATTAATTATGATCTAGTTTTAATATAGAATTTTGAAAGTTTTCGATCTCATTTCATTTGCAAATTGCTTGAAGTCTTTTGAGAATTGCGGGCTGAGACTGACGTAGATCACTGGCATAATGATGAAATTAAAATTGAACACCGAGTTGCCATAGCGCATAATGATTTCGACCAGTTTTGGTTTGGGCGTCATTATAAACTCTTCACCGTACCCAAAGACGATGACTGTGAGAATTACGCAGGGAAGGAAACATACAATATAGACAGCAGTGATTGTGGCGAAGACTTTAGCGGATCTGACTCTCATGAGCTCCATCTGACTCTTATGTGCTGCTTGCGATTTATTCTCTTTTAATTGAGTTCTGTTCTCTGAACCTGAGTTGGCAGTATTGATAAGTCGTCCACGCGAGTTCTCCATTTGAGAGTCTTTGAGATCCAGCTTCATACCGGCTGCGACTTTTTCTAATTCTGGGCCTTGGATTTTTCCATCGTCCACGGGAGCTGCAACCGGCTTATCAGGGTCATTAGAAGGAGTCAGCGGTTCGATGTTAATCACAGGAACCGAGAGTCCAACAGCCCGATTGCTCTGAGCTTCGACTGCATTCGGGGACTGAAGGTCAGTTGTCTCTGGTCGAATGCTGAGGTGTACACTTCGGTGTCGGGATCTCTTGGCTCGTCGGCTAAGTTCAGAGTAACTGAGAGTGTACAGTATAGTCATGCCGATGAGAATTAGAACGATGATTGAGATATAAACTAGCATGGCTAGACGATCGAAGTGAGTCGCCAAGGTTGAGAAGATGACGGAGACAGCGAGGTTGGAGATAGAAACAGCTATGGCTGTTTTGAAGGTGAATTCGAATCGTGAAGCCACATGACAGATGAGAATGTACCTAAATTTGAAGAATCCTAATGTTCATTTTGTTGAATCATTATGGTCATGGATCACTATAGATGAAGCATTAGAGTCAGTGCTTATTTTCTAAAGCTTCTTAACATGAATGAATATATTTCTTTGCGAATCATCCTACTCTTTTACCGTTGCTCGCAATCAACTTATGGAATTTTTAACGGAACGAAACTTAAGTACCTGTTGACAGCGATTGACAGCATAGCTATAGTTGAGGAGATCTCGAGGAAAAATGTATACCAGAAGACGAAATCACTTTCATTGTCGTTGCAGTTGCCGGCCTCCATTGGAAAAAGAACGATACATGCTAGGAAGCAAATTAGCGCCAGCATAACTATCAGAACGTCTGACGCGTTTCTCGGCACAGCGCTGCGAAGTTTTGTCAAAAGTACGACAGCCACTGTTAGGTTAATTGCCGAGCCGAATATTGCGAGCAAAGCGTAGCAATGTGAGACCACAAAGCATTCAGTCTCATTGAAGTCCAAAAATGTTGTCATCGGAGCTCGATTATAGAGTTTGTTTTGGTTCAAATGAAGTTTCTGATCAATGCTGCTGCTGATGGTAGGTCCTGACATTTTTTCAGCTTTCTCTTGCCAATTAAGGAAATATGGAAGGGATGCTAAAACGGAAAAGGAAGTATTAAAGCGGGTAGTCTAAGTTGAGAAGTCGCAATCGAACAACAGCATAATTGGAATATCAGGATAAATAGGGTGAGTGGTTTTAAATTAGATTGTAGCTTTTTCACTTTTGTTATCGAATCCAGTTTTGCAGGTAACATAAATGAGTGCAAAGAATAAAAATTAGCTTGCAAACTGATAATATTTTTCTTCGATAACAAAAAGGTTGAAAATGGGAATTTGTTTAAAAAAGCGTTGGTATAGATGTAGAAGGAGCCTACATAATTTATGTTTATGTATGAAAGGTGGCGTCCAATCAGTTTGCGCCGATTTGAATTTGGTTACTTCTATTTCCTGCTTCTATGCAGTTTTGCTTGATTTTGTGATTGAACAAAAAACTCGGTTTCACAAGGCGAGAACGAAGGGAATGCAGTTTCTAACGAGCAGTTGATTTGAATCTTGAGTTAAACAAGCATTTGATAACCTTGAATTAACCGTTTCATTTAGCGCCTAAATGCTATTTTTAAGCCCCGATTTTTGACATAAAAGGTGTTCATGAACAGGTAATTGCTAAAAGGAAACAAGGATAGCCGGTTACTGTGCAAGTAGCACAGATTGTTCCGACCAGTGTTAAAAAAGGCAAAAAAAATTTTTTCAATTTGGTGTCGTTTTTTTTCTGAATGTAATGATAAGAGATCTGAAGGAAAAAAATAAATTAGCATATCAAAGTCATAGTAAAAAAGGTCAGTTGGAAATCAGTTTTTTGAATAAACATGACAAAAAAAAATTTTAAAATTTTTTTTCCAGTTATGTTTTTAACTTTCAAGTTTTTGATTCCCAAAATTGCGCTGAAAAACTCCAAAAAATACCTCCACATGAGTAAAACTAAGTTTTCACGGCTTAAATTAAGCTTAAATAAGCTATTGTAAGCCTACACGGTCAACTTATTAGCTCTAAATTAGACCAAAATCAAAAATTTCAAAACGGTTTTTCTCGAAAATATTCTTAATTTTTAAATGTCGACCGAATCACGACTGAAAAGCTGTTCGTTTGTTTTGTTAAAAGAAAGGAAAACTCCAGTATCGAACAGCAAAAGTTTAAAGGTCACAAAAAACGTGATCGAATTTTAGATTCGAAAATTTGATTTTCAGATTTCCCAGCGAAATAAAAATTCTATCTGTTGATTCAGTTTTTCCACATGGGTTTAATTTTATCACAGAAGTGTCAATCATAAATTGGGCTAGACATTCAAAGATCAAAATACAAAAATTGGATCCTTTTCAACTGTCTGTTGGCCAGCCAGGTTTTTGTTTGAAATTTGAGAATTTTTCAAAAAAAAACAACTCAGTGTTTTTTTCTGTTTACTTGCGTTCTGTGACTCGTTTCCAAGTGTTTGTTGGCGATGTTAAATTTATAATCTTTTTCAGAACTAATAATAGCACAATTATAATGTACCAGCAACCACCGCCTCAGCAGAATCCAGGGGGCTACTACCCTCCCCCTGCACAGCCTCGACCAGATCTGTGGGCGTGGTTTAGTGCTGTGGACGTGGACAGGTCGGGTAAAATAAACCCGAGTGAACTTCAGAGGGCGCTCTCAAATGGACAGACTGACTTCAATATTGAGACTGTGCAGATACTCATGAATCTGTTCGACCAGGACCACTCGGGACAGATCACCTATGACGAGTTTGTGAGGCTGTTTGATTTTGTGAACCAGTGGAGGAATACTTTCATGGCGTACGACAGAGATCGGTGAGTTCCATTTCGAGTGGGTTGCTCGAACTGAAAGACGACAATTAAACTATGAAGTAATTCGAAATCCTTTGAAAACCATAGCAACGTTATCAAATGAGGTGTTCTCGTTTGAGGATGTATTCTTTCCTTAAAAGCGTTGTAAATAATGGAATGAAATTATGGAATTGAGAGCAATTTCGTTAAAGAAAGAAAAAGTTTTGATTAATCCATCAGTTCTAACAAAAGGCACACGTACGCTCATAATGTGCTCTTTGAATTGATAAAAAGAACTTGATAAAGAAATTAGGTTGCTGTCCAAGTAGCAGAGAAGATTTTGTCCACAGTTATCGTTGCAAAAGTAGTTCGTCCTATAAATGAAGATGTCATTTTATCCACTCCACTGTTCACTAACGGTGGGTCTGAACAGCAAAGTTTTGACCAGTTTTCCTTGAAGCAGGCTACTTTTTGACATATCTCCGAATTGAGACCAATAGTTTTTTTTAGAAAAGAGCACAATCGGCATTGTACGAAAGTTCTTTGAGGTATATAAGATCGCGAAGACAAAAAAAAACACCCTAAGCCATTGTTCTTTCCCACTCAGAATGAAAACTTAAGGCTTTTTTAAAATGTATGAATCAATCGGAGATTGGAACTGTCTAAATTAAGTGTATATGCGACTTAAAATATTCTTGTTTTCAGATCGGGAAGCATCAACTTCCACGAGTTGAAAACAGCGTTGACCAACTTTGGCTACCGACTGTCGGACAGGTTCTACAACCTGATAATGGTCCGATTCACCACCAGGCCCAAGAATGAAGTCTCATTCGACAACTTCATTCGCGTATGTGTTCTACTGGATAATATTACCAAGAACTTCCAGACATTTGACACGAACAGAAGCGGGTGGATCAACATATCTTTCGAGCAGTTCACAGAAGTGTTTTTCTCTATCGTATAGCCTAATGTTTGATTCATTCTGCTGTATTTAATTAATTGTAGCTACATGTATTTAATTTTTATCTGCTCTGAAAACTCTACGATAATCACAAACACAAGAAGTTTATGTAATCTAAGTTTTGCTTCTGATTCTGATGGTAAAAGTGTTGGCAAAAAAGTTGTGAGAGAGTTTAGGAAAAATCAAAGTAAGTGACCTAAAAGCTAAGACCCATCATATCATCACTAGTAGTGATCTGAAAAACATTTATTTTCATGATCATTCATTGTATTTTACAAAAAAAACGTGTTCAGTAACTAACAACATTATTTTGCAGAGAAAACTGTACATGTTTTAGAATCTCAAGAGTTTTACTTACCTTTTGAACGTCTACGAGCTTGGGTTTGTGATGCTTACACGAATAAGTGCTAATTATACCAATGAACTAATGCTTAAGCCTAAATCAGATTTCTTATCGTGTTTGATTCAGAAAGTGGATAAAGTTATTGCTTTTCTTCTAGTGTGAAAAATTTTGAAGCTGAGCATGAGGCTCTATCAAAATCTGTTTATCGAAGTGTACATAATTTACTTTTGGACCAAATTGCTGATCTACCCTACAGTCTGTCGCTTGCGATATCAGTGATATGTTTTTCGAAGCAGTCAATGCAAAGAAGGAATATGCAAAGGTCAATCTAAGTTTTTCAACTGCATCTTGAGAGAATATCAAAAGGTAACTTTGAGGTCAGTGGAACCCCAAGTGGGAGTTAAAAGCAAATTATCAAAGAAAGGCTTCCATTGTATGAAGTAAACTGTAAGGGTAGAAAGGTGACAGAAAAGAGATATGGTATGGGTATATAGCCCTGCTAACCATTTTGACTTGTGGCTTAGATAATTAATGTAATATTTCTTGTGTGCTCAATTCATAACTTGATCTTAATAAATACATTTTCCTTTTTATAAGCAGACGTTTCAATTAAAACGCGTGGAGAGTGTACCCCAAGAAGTTGCATATGAGTGTACTTTCTGCATAACAGCGGTCTTAAATCTGTTCACAATCATAATTGCTTATTATTGCTTTTTTCGCGGTTTGACTTGTGATTTCTTTTTTAGTTCAGTGCATTTCTATTGTTCGTAGCTTTCGACTTCGTAGCTTTGAGCATAACTTTTTTCAGCCAAGTTTTCGGTTTTTAAGAAGTCCACTACAGTTTTGGTCAGTTGAATGCCACTTATAAAAGGTTGAACGCTCAATAAGTTTTTGATTGTAGTATTCAAGAAACTTGAAGCTGTCGATTTTTTATTGAACAGTTTGTCGCTTAAGTTTGTCAGCTTTAATGCTCTCCGTTTTTAAGAGTAATGCACGTAATGAAGACTCTAATATAAGTCTTGCTGATTTTTTTCACGCTCATTTTTGATTTTTCGCGGTTTGACTTGTGATTTCTTTTTAAGTTCAGTGCATTTCTATTGTTAAACGGAAAGCAAACTCCACTATTGAGCAGGAAAATTGAAACGGTCACGAAAATGGAAATGGAAATTAATTATCAGATTTCCCAGCGAAATAAGAAATATACCTATTGATTCAGTTTTTCCAAATTGGGTTAATTTTGACAAAAAGTGTCCAGCATATATTGTTCTAAAAATTCAAAGAGCTTTCAGGCAATCTAATTTTTTATTCGAAATTCAAAAGTTGAAGTCTCTTGAAAAAACAAGTCAGTTTTTTTTTCAGTTTGCTTGCGTTCATTACTCTTTTTCAACTGTTAGTTGGCTATGTTTTTTATATTTTAACGCAATATTGAAAAAGCTGTGCATTTGATTTTTTTAAAATAAAATGCACAACTTTACAAGAAAATCGTCTGCGTTTAGGTCGCACATTTTTTATTATTTCCAAATTTTGTCGAATAATTTTTTTTGTCCTTTTGATTTTTGTCCTTTGGTTTTTCAAGTTCATTCTATTTTTTTTCATTCGCCAGTCTTTAGCCGTTGTTTAATTCGTTTTGAGAATATCAAATTTGGTGAAATTATTGAAAAGCAGTAAAAATATGCCTCAAATTTTCCTTTTTGTACTGTTTTACTTGATTAACGACTGAAAAGCGGATAGTCTTTAGAGAGTCAACAGCCTGTATTATAATTGTCATTTTGGTTTTGCAAATTTTGATTGCTGTTTTAGGTTGTAATTGATTCAACATTTCTTTTTTTTTCAAAAGTTGCTCAAATTTTCTTCTTTTAATAATTTATAATTCGACCATTTATCCTCCAGGGTTGGGAGTAAAATACGAGCTGTTCAGCTCTAACAGAAAAACCGCTGTATTTTTTTTGTTAAAAAGTACATATTTTTTGGTTATTTTTCTTGTAGGGTTATGGTGCCTCTCCCTCAACCAACGAGCGTAGATCACTATGTTTCCGCAACCCACAAAATTTCGATTGAGAACCGAAATTTTAGCCAAGTCACCATTATCCCAGCCTTTCAAAATCGGGGAAGTGTTTTTTTTGGCTATGTGAAGTGGAAATCGGGGACTGCGAAACTTGTCAGGAGAAAGAAAAAAACTCCGAGTACTCATATTCCGTTTCTTAATTCGAATATAAGAACAATTAGAAGCACGCTTGGCTGGATTTTTCAGTGGTTTGGCTGGGTTCGATTCCCATTTTTTTTTGTAACAGATCATATGAAGGCAATTTAATATCTAACTAGCAAAATCTATGATTAAATTTGCTGAGTCTAATGAGGTGATTGATAGATAAAACCTTCGAACTAAAGTATGTGATTATCCTTGAATCTTTTTCAGGTTTATTAATCCTTTTGGCAAAAGTTCTAGTCAAACAATTTCCATGCATTTCTCCTTACCTAAAACTTTTTTTTAACACGATTAAATAATTGTATGAAGTTCTAGGACTAGCATCCCCCTATCAAGGAATTATTTGACTACCATTGTTCGTTGTGTTTGCTGAATGTACTAGCATCCTTGTTTACTCAAGCAAACAGCTTTCGGTGAAATACTAGTTCAATTTTTTCAAGCTAAATTGCTCAAAAAGTGCTTAATTTGTTCTTTTGTGCTCAATCTTTTCTGTGTTTTATCCGCAATTTTTGCAGCTGTTCTATCAGCTTTATTACAGCGATTGTTTTTTAAAATTAGTTGCTGTGTTAACTCTATAAGGTTGGTTTGATAGTTGGCTCAGGCAGGAAGACGAATGCTCCCTCATCCCGCGTTAAGCGGGACGAAACCCGTAGTCGTATATTTATTTGTTTTTCAAAGCTTTATATATATTTTTGCTATCTTAAAGCTCGTATTTACATTTTTGCTTCGATCTGCGGAATGCAGCCTCGCTGCTGTGTTCAACTATAAATTGAAAAAGTCTTGGGATTTGATCAGTATATATTTCGATGTTTGCTTCCAAACCTAGTAACCTGACATTTTTGCGTGGATTCATTTTTTCGTCTGATACAAATTTTGCGTACTTTTTTAATATAAGCTCAAGTATACTTCACCTCTCAGAAGGTAGGTGCTATATCACCTCACTGATTATGTACCATTATCAGGCTTATAGTTTCTTTAAAACGTTTGTCCTTAAAGTGTCTGCTTTTTATTAACAAAACTGTTGTTTTTATAGTGAGTTTATTAGTATTTTCATAGATTGAGTAGAGTAAGACAATTGAATATAGAGTTTTCAGAATGGAAGAATGTTTTGTATGTTAGAAAAACAGCTGAATGTGTTGACTTGTTTTAAACACTCTGGACTTGCGCAACTGAATTTTTTCCAAAGGTGTGTGACAAACGGTCAGACCGATGTTAATTGTTCTTGAGAAAGATACTGCATTAATGACTAATAGAAAAATACATATAAATCCATAGCGTTAGTTACGGACCGAAAGTCGTCTCATGACATCTCCTGCACTGGGAGAAAGTTCATCTAAAATTTTTTTTTTCAATTACTACCTCTGAAATTAGCGACAGATGGATGACATTTTTGATGACAACTCTAGTGTGTAGAGACTTGACCAGCAAGGCAGATTTGAGTAATTTAACAAAAACCAGTTTTTCTTTGAAATTTTAGACAGTTTGTATAACTTCTTCTTTTGTCCTTATTTTAGACTCTGTTCGTTCCTGGGAACAGTAGCGGACTGCCTGGTCTACTGGTCGGCGTAAACGGTGTTTTTCTCGGTTGTTCGACGTTTTGTTCCGGATCTGAGACCTGATAGTTATCCTTTGACTGCTGACGTTTTTGACAGAATGTGTCAACGAAACCCCAAAGAATCTGGTCGGTTTATTTGGTCTTGCGGATGACCTCGTTGACTCCACCACGCTGCTGTACTTTGAATTGTTCTCCTCCGCTTTCTTCGAAAATGTCCGCCTGACCAGTTTTGAGCTGTTCGTCTGATCCTGTTGACATTTCTGGTTGGTCGTGAGTAATTGTGACCTCAGCCTCCGGGGCTTGCAATTTGTCTATCGAGTCTTTGCTCGAAGATTTGGCTGTTAGGTCCACAATTGTGCCTTTGATTGGGTCACTTAGCTGTCTCGGGTCTGATGAGATTGAAATCTGGTCTAAGGCTATCGTGATTTATTTGGTAAACTTTTACTTTATCGGTAGCCTATGTGCTATCCGTAACCTTCACAAGTTTGAGTTTTGCAGATTTTCAATCTTGCCGATTTTCTTGAAGCTTTTCAAATTGACGTGTTTTGAGTAATTTTCGTTTTAAGGCCACGTTCATTCGTTGTCTATACAACAGAGATTAGAAGGCCCGCCATGTTCTGCGAATTTGCCAGGTTGCTACTCCTTGTAGCCAATTTCTTTGGGAGTTGTATGCTTTGGTGTGGTGGGACACTCCTCTTCATTTGGTACCATTATTTCGCCGCTTTGGCTAAGTATTCCAGCGCATTGTTTAGCTGGCTTTCTTATTTTTATTACCCCACTCCGAACATGGGTTCAGATCTTGTCGATATCTCCGGTCTTTTTGCGGCTCCTCTTGAATCACTTTCGCCTGGTCTCTGCTGTAATCCTGACTGTTTCTATGCTCCCGTGTCAGTAAATCTGTTTCCAGGCCTTGAGCTGAATCATTCGAATTGTTAAGATTCAAACTTGGCAATGAGAACTCAGTGTTCTGTTTTCTCTCTTAGCGCATTTCAAATAGAGATTTTTTGTTTGCGCTATTCTTCGACTCGTTTTCCTGATACCGTCTGTGATCCATTAGAGGGTTGATCTTAGCTTTTTAAATTTTGGATCGATTTGCAGCTCCTAATTTTCTTCCTTTGTTTAAATCGGTCTCCCCACATGTCCTTAACCTCTGTGGTCACCAATTAGAGTGAGGATGTTTTTTATGCCTCTGTTTTTTCCTCACTTGTTCTTTCCTCACTTAGTTTTGCAATGCCCTTATTTGTAATTTAAGATCGTAACAATTGAAAAACTCGGTCTTGTAATTTTAGTTACTGCTATCGACTGGTATTTAGAAAAATATTCTTTATCAGTTGTTGTACATCAGTTCTGTGCTTCGGCTCATGAGCAGATCTTTAAGCGTCGTTGCTTTCTCCTGTTCCCTTGCCAGTTTCACTATGCCGAGCATAGAACGACGAGAAAAATCATTGTCAATCATGAAAATTATACAGTAATGTTTGATACGTTCGACTGTGTAGTTAGGATCGGCTTTGAATGGAACTTTGGCGAATTGCGAAAGTGTAAGCGTTGATGTCTGAAATAAGGTTTGAATCCGTAATTCGTTTTTCTTCATTTTCCAGAGCGAAAGAGTCTCGTTTTCAGCCTTGCCTGGACCTCATGGTAGTTCCAGTTTTGTTTATCTGTGCCTCTACCTGTTTTATTCACCCACTCGCTTGGCTGCCGCTGCGTCCCTCAGTGCCCTGTTGTTTGCTGCTGCTGCATCGTCTGATGCTCCCGGCGCCTCTGGTGTTGGTTACAGGTTGTCTTTTAAAACCGCTGAAGTAGCTAGAGCATCTGGGA